ATGCTCCTATATTTTTAAATCTCTATTTTGAATTCTTTTTGAACAGAAAATTGAACCACATACCATAGAAGATTTCTATGGACTCACGTCAGACATCCAGAAGTCTTCTGAATCAGGATATATACTGTTTTATGAAGCCAGGAACTAACTTCAACAGCAGGACATCAAAATGAACTAAATTGACAATATAATGAATCAATTAATAGTGGGAGGTTACTGGGAATGAAAAGGGAGGGAGGGAGGGGAGGGAATCAATGAAGGGAGGGAGGGGGTGGGAAGTARGGGTTGTTGAAGGAAGGGAAAAGGMCATAATAGTGGGAGGGARGTTTAATGAAAWTCAATGATGTAAAGTATTATTTGCTACAGTAATGCTCAATTAAATCATGCATCAGTCAAGTTTAGGTCTTTGTAAATTCTACATATTCTTGATCAAGAAGCTGAAATTCCAGCATCTCTTGCCATTTAGGGCTCTGTAAGGTATATAGCACCACACACTCTGTTCAAATCAAGCCTACTTGYAATTGGACTAAGTGCAAATATTATGTACAAGGTTGATTTAATATGTCCAAGCATGTTTGGGCAAAAMATTTATGGCAAATRAGTGGACTGACACATTRTGTGGCCAAGTTCAAGTTTGACCATTCAAAACTTGTTTAGCTTTTAATCTCTATCCACTCAAAGATTTGACTGGTCAAACTGAATTTGACTCRGGYATTGTCCATTTGCTGTGGTTGATGAAATCAAAACAGAAATGTACAGTCATAGTTTTCTCAGTACTTAAATAATTATTCATAGTTGTTGGTTTCTGTTAACTTTAATCTTATTTTGCTGTATGCTCAGAAGGCTTAGCKTAAGTGAAGAAATAGAAATTAGTCAAAGATAGAAATCATCCTGTGTCTTGAGCAGKAGCAGGGTAGTTTTGCCCTCTTTTTTCTCAGCCAAAAGTGTAAGAAAGAGCACATCTAACTAAAGATGCATTTATATGAAAAACTTCAAACATAAATTTATTATATGCACTGTTACAAATTTAATAATTAGCTGCTTTTAAAATGTGAAACCAATATGTTACTAGTAATTTTTCTACTGATACATGTACTAAAGCGCTTATCCTACTTGCTTGTCCTATGTAACCTTGTGCACACTTAAAGGACTTTTTTGAGAAAAACGGTCAAGTAGTTGTCTAATGTACTAAGTGCTGCCTTGTTTTTCTGAAAAGTGATTTGCTTTGCATTAGGAAGTTTAGATATCAATAGGCCGTCAAAGTTCAGACTTAATCTCTGAAGCATAGTCCTGAAACAAGTTTCCTTTGTTTAGATGTACTATTTGTTTCACAGATTGCAGTTTTCACTCTGACACATAAGGGCACCCAGGACAATAGCTCTTGTGTACTCGCAAGGAAAGATAAGAATCTCTGCTTAGTAAGGCACCCTTATTTGATTGGCTCCATTCTTGTACCCAGACCCTCATTACTTCTCATCCAATTCTTGACTGATGGTATGGGTATGAAAATGGATTGGCTGTAAAAGCTTATTTACTTGTATATGGACAGTCAGAGAGCTGTTGCACTAATTATAGAGATATGTAATCRAGAGTTGACATACAACTCCAAACTGAGCAAATAAATATTGTTTATTACTGCATTTGTTTGTTAGTTTGTGTATATTTGTATGTAAATCGTTCACTTTACAAATATTTCTCTCACATTTTAATAGTCTTAGTTACCATTAAATGAAAACAAGAACTACAGGCTAAAAAGATATTTTGAAATTATTTTTAGTAACTCTCTACACTTCAAAAGGAACATTTTGTACAACTTTGATTTTGATCAGTGAACTTCAGGGAAGAACTAACAATGAGAGCTAACTCAAAACCAGATTGTTTAACAACCAGGACAAGTTTATGTTAGTCAAAGAGACAAAATGCCACACGATTACAAACTCTAAAGTTTACAAAATTTTCCCAAGTAGCTGTCTTAATATCTGTGTTGTCTATGTATAATATTGATTTTTTTTGTTAATAATTGGTTTGTTTTAAAATCAAAGTAAAATATTGCAATAATGTCCAGACAACAGAAGTGGAATTTTTTATGTAGAAAGCCTAGACATTAAAAAAAAAACAAACAAAAAAAAACAACAACAACAACCAGAAAGCACTTAATGTTGAATTCTGTGTTTGGGACACGAGTTACTTCTTTCTTTGTTGTTCAAGGTATACAGCCTGTACTCTGTCTAGTTATCATGTTCTTGGTAAGGCTGTTATTATCTCTGGTAAGGAGTGTAGGAAACTGGGAAGTTGAAAAGGTGTTTTTGTCCATGTTCACTAACAAGAGGAAGAAGACCAGCAGTTGGAATTACATTCCATGACATGTGCAAGCTAACRTTTTTTAATCCTCTGAAAAATACATTCAAAAAAAAGAAGAGTTAGTAACAATCAAACTGAAATGAAGATTATTCATGATTTTCAAGAATGTCGTGATATGTCATGGTCACCGTCCAGGGTACAGGGGAAGTAGCGCTTAAAACAAGGTCTCAAAGGCCAGTCTCTGTATAGTAAACTTCCTTGGTGTTTTACTTAGAGTGTTTTGTTTTGACACTGCCATACATGTGATCTTCGCGGTGTATTTCAGATGTAAGGCTTTGAAAGTCTTGTTTCCATGATTCGTCAGTAGTTCCTGGATATTGATGGTCATGAACAACCGCCATTTTTGAAAGTCGTGTATGAATGAGATAATGATCACAGCCTTTATTCAATACAAAAATAAGACCACTTTACAGCTGTTAGAGTCATGTTTGCCAACAAAATCATTTTTTTTTTTGAATTTCACTAATGTTTCCCATGTGATGCTCATTTTTCTATTAAATGCTGGTGTTTACCGTACTACTCAATTTAACGAACATGAAACGGATCCAGAAATGACTGCAATAGCGGAGGATTAAAACCCACAATGTTAATAACAAAATCTATGACTGTTCAAATATAACCTTTTTGATTTATTCATTTCATAAATATTTTGATTTACCTGAGCCCATGCCCATCATCAAAGAAGTAATATTTAGTATTCATATTATTGTAGCTGAGRTGTAATTTCTTGTCACTTCGAAGAACAATCTTATCCCAAAGAACAACTTGGTTAAATTTCTGGAAATAATAATTACAATTATATTATTACTTAACATCAGCATCATCACTGGTATGGACTGCAATGAAGAATTATGCTAAAGTAGCRAACAAAAACAAACAAAAAGATTTAAAAAAATGTAATTGGAAATGGCCTATTTTCAGTGCAAATTTGTAGACTGCAACTTCTACCTGTGTATAAAAAGAGCCAAGTTCCCATACACCTACTTGCAGATTTATGTTGTCATAGAAAATTAAAACAAGACAAAAGAGAGTATTCAGCCTCAGTGATCTTCTTTTGTCTTTTTAATTTATTCCTTTTTACTAAAATACAAATGTCCTATTTTTTTGTGACAACGTTTTCGCAAGTAGGTGTATATGTACATTTAGAACAAATGAAATTTCAAGTTAGACATACAGGTATAAAATGAGATAAACTTATTTTCAATTTATTTTGCGAGTAACAAATTTTATGATTTTAAATTTAATACTTGATAACTTTAGTGCATGCAAGATTTTCACGAAATTTAAACTTGCAAAAGTAGACAAAAATAAGTTGTGTGGATTTGACATTATATGTAACTGGTTCATTCAAGTGATCCTAGTTGAGGTAGAAATGACATCATACATACATTTTGTTTGGTTTCATACTGAGCAGTCAARTAAACAAACAGCTGTTTGGTGTTCCAGTTGAAAAGTGGTGTAAAATGTATTTTTAAGTTAAGGAAACAGTTTTTTTATACTCATATGACTGAAATCTTATGAATATTTATACTGTTCAATCTGTCCATGGTCTATTTTTCATTGTGTTGAAATTCTTATATCCAAAATGTTCAAAATAAAGGCTGCTATAATCAACCAAGACTAGKCGCATAGGTGATTTCMCTGACCAAGAGTAAAGTAAATTGTATGATACTTCCCAGCCAAAGCAAAGCCAGAGAGTACAATTAAAATGCATCATGATAACAATCATTATTATTATGAATATCAATTGTTATCAACTATCACGAAACTGTTTTATCATCATCATTACTAATGAATACCACATGAATCCTGAATGTAARAAATAATAGCTTACGTAGCTGGAAGCCAGCTAGCAAGGACAAAGAAATTCAATAAAAAGTAAATTTGAACTTAATTTAAGCTTAAATCTAAGCTTATCTTATAAAAAGGATATCTGCCTTCAGATCAAATGACAAAACACCAAGRTCATTCCTTGTTGTTGACACACTAAAATCTTGGACATTTTTTCTGCAAAAACAATAAATAACTGTTACTWAACATAATCATCAAATCCTCAACATTTCAAGTATTAAGCTTATAAAAGTTAAACTTTATCGAGAAACTCACACTTCAGCGTTGTTGCTCTTTAGAGAGACTTTGACCGAATAGCTAAGAAACACGGTRGATAGAAAACACAAGAATGTTAATGCTGCTAAAACTGTTAATGTAAAGGCAAATATCGTGTTCAATCTGGAAAGAAATGTGTTCATTTTGACTGTTTGCAGCAAAGGATATTTAGAATGAACTTCCTTTTTGTTATAGATTCGATCAGATCTGGCGAACACTCATTGGCTGTCAGWATGGTCAGCGGAAATTAACATATTTATGCGCGAGAGTTGCGGCGCTTCCTGTACTGAAAAAAACCGCTGACAAATTCCTCATTCCCGCCAAAACTATGGCGACCTCGAAGTTTTACAGCCAAGCTCGTTATGATTTTGGATTTTGTCGCGACTTGGGGTGAGGTAAAGAAAAAGAGATATCGTTTATAGTTRTTGCATAACACTATATAGCCTGTGTACATCCGTTTCTCACCCCTCAAAAAAATCGGGGAGAGAACGTCGTTCTCTGTTTTGTCGGCCTTGTTGCATAAAGTTTCATTTTTTTGTCGTTTTTTCTGTGTTTTGCATTTTATTTCGTTTGTTTGTTTGTTTCATGTTGTCTTTTAATATGCCAGGAATAGACTTCATTGGAAAAAGCTAAGATCCAAGACCCAACACTGCAAGTTTTCAAATCTTTTAATATAGTTTTGCACAAACATTAATTAATTTATACAGTAAGTTTGAAAGTTAGAATTTTAAATATGAGTAAGTATTA